AGGAAGGAAGGAAGGAAGGAAGGAAGGAAGGAAGGAAGGAAGGAAGGAAGGAAGAGATGGACTCATGTTTACCCTGACATAAAGCATAGCAGGGTGTTTCCCCCTAGATCTGAACAACTTTAGCTGGGAGGTAGGCTGATAATTAATGGGATCACTGCAAAGTGGCTTTTGGGGAGGGGGCAGCAGTCCTTTCCTCCTTTCAGTTCTGAAAAATCTTTTTCATGAACTAATTTTAGGAGAGATTCGTCATTAATGCCAGTAGGAGATTTGTTCCTAGGAAAAGGCAAGTTTCAAAGAACTTTTCTCAGGAGTGAAATGGAGAAGGGAATTAAGATTACTACACCCGCATCTGGACATACAGAAATCCTCCAAACGTATTGTGGTCTTGATAAACCACCAGCTTCCCGATGATGCTACTTGTGTTTTATAGGACCCATAACCATATACTGCTGTGGGTTCCCATATCCTTGTGAACAGCTGGAAAATTACAAGTTGGAATATACCATCTTCATACAATACAAAATTCCACCTTAGAGTAATATTTATACTAGGGAAAAGCTGGCAAGAGGGTGGATAGCTATGTAATATGAATTTTTAACATATATATTTATGTTAAAATTACAATTTATGCCAAATAATGTTAGTAATCTGGTTGGCTTGCAAATAACTACATTTCATAAAACCTACCACGGATTGGTTCCAACCCTTGTCTGCCACGTACAGTATCCACAATCACAGAGATCCATCAGAGGATGCTCAGACTTTTTAATTATTCAGATAGCAGGGAACACAGTCCAAAGGATTTAATCATATATTTAATTTCTTCTTTATATAAAATCAACAGCATTAAAATAACTTCAGGTTTTCTTCCTACCATTTCTTCTATCTCCTTTTCAGATAACGAATATGTATTTATTGATCTGGAGCAGAAGCTTTGTAAATACTTCCTAAAGGAGTGGAAGAAAGAAGGAAGCAGAGTAAGTCCTTCAGTGTGCATTTGTAACATTGAATTCTTTGCAGAACTGTATGCTGAGGCTGCATCGTATAGAAATGAAGCTAATTATAACTTGGGTCCAAGTCAGTTTTATAGTTCATACGCATTGTCTGCTCCAGTGGTTTTTCTTTTCTTTTCTTTTCTTTTCTTTTCTTTTCTTTTCTTTTCTCTTCTCTTCTCTTCTCTTCTCTTCTCTTCTCTTC